AGCTGGGCAGTGGGAAGCTTGCTCTCGTTCACGCCGACACTGTGGTCTCCTTGGAAATGCTGCGTTAGTGAAGGACTGTGCCCTTAGCACACAGCCTCACTGCAGGCATCTGTCCCCAACGTGCCCCACAGAGGACAGGTTTCTGCTGGTCTCGGCCGTGCCAAGCTCGCCGTACCAAGGATCTGGCTGTTAAGCAACACAAAGATGTAAATATTTCCCCTGTCTGAACTGCATGTTGATTTACGCCTATTACTTTCATTCATTTCCCCTCCCAGCTGTGATGTTAAAACGGTATTTCTTCTCTTGGTGAAAGGAAGCGAGAACAAGATTGTGAGATGGACCAGATACTTATGTGGAGCTACTGGGGCAAGGAGAGGAGTGTGCTCATATTCCAAACTCAGATGGTCACTCAGTGATTTTACTGTCAAGCCAGGGGTATCACATCCTCCCCCAAGATGGGATTACAACACTGTCCTTATGTTGACAGCCATTCCTCAGTCTCTGGAGTCATCCATATTTTGCCTCTTGATCAGGTTTTAAAGTTAATTTTTGTTTTACAATGTAGCTCAGAAGCAACCTCCTGTTCCTTCCTCAGCGGTCTTTTCACCAACGGGCATCTGCGAAGAGCAGCCCGCAGTGACCGAGCACCTCTGCAGTGCCCTGCAGGGAGGCAGAGCAGGCATGCTGAGGCCCAGGAGCTCTCTGTGCCTTGAGGGGGCTGTGTAGGATAAAGCGCCGTTACGGGATATCTCCTGCAAGTGACATCAGCTTAATTACAAGCTGGATGAGGCTGGAATGGTTTATGCCACTGACAACAGTTTAGGATGCCTTACTATCAGCCTTCTCCAGATCTTACATGCTGTTTTATAAAGGGCAAAGAACCTGTGATCAATGCTGCTGTTCCCTCTGTGCAGACAGTCCCTGTGCCAGTCCTGCTTTGCTTATAGGGCACCTGGGGAGAGGACGCACGAGGACATCTCCCTCCTCCCCTGCCCTGTGCAAGAGGTGTCTGCTGGAGATCTGCCTCCCAGAGAAAGGGAGGAGGCAATACAGGATCTTCTCCTGACTCCTTGTGAACTTGGGGCTGGACTTGAGCTTCAGAAATTGCGGGGCTGACTCAGGGAGTGCGTTTGCACTTCATAATTAAGCACAAATTCTAGCGCAGCTATCGTGTGTCTGCTTCTTTCCTGGGCAGAAATACCTGCTTCTCTCTTGTAAATGCTGTATAAATCCCATAGGAAGCCTTGCTTACGCATTGGCTTCAGGATGATTCCTAATGGCAGAGAATTTGCCTTGGAGTCGAGGTGCGAGGCTGAGTACCCCTCTTTGATGTTCCTCGATTTTCAGATACCGGCTGTAGTGAATAGCTTTGAAATTTTTACCAAGACAAAACTCCACTTTGCCTTGAAGAGGACATCCAGCCTTGGGCATGAATTCACAATCGCTTGCAGGAAAAAGAGCTTGTTCTTGTTAGTGTCAGGTTGGTCTGGTTGGTTGGTTTTCAGATTGAGCCAAATGGTTATTAAAATGGATGGTGCTCCTGTTCTGGCAAGCTGTCACTTCACGCGCGCCCGGTTCTCTCACGAGCGTGCTTTCCCAGCCCGCCTCCCCGGCTCCAGGGGCAGAAGATAAGCCAGCAGAAAACATTCTCTCTAGCCAACTGTTTGTCTGAAGCGTCTCAGCTACTCTGGAATGTTTAGCTTCTTTTCTCTCTATACCTTTTCTGCATTCACATGTTCCCATCGTATCTGAAATTGAATGAGAAAATATTTTCGAAGTAAAGAAAGCCACATATGGCATCAGATTGTTGCACTGTGAGTGCCACCCTTTACTCTCTGTGTGCATGTGATAAGTGGGGGTGTCACTTATGGTTCAAATAACAAGGCAGGACATCAGGCGCACTTAACATCTAAAAGATGGAAAAGGACCAACCATGCACACCCCTCCACCAACCCCAAATACTCTATTTCAATTTATAAAACAAAATGTCACTGTGTGAGCACCACTAGTATGCGACTCCACAGGTACTGCGGTAGTGTCTGAGCATATCCCAGTCCGTTTTACTGACAGCCTGCCAGGGAGCAGGGAAAACCGTATGAAGGAATACGACCAAGTGGCTTGGGTGAGTCAGGGCTGTGGTATTAGGCTCCCTCCTGGCAGGGGAGGAGCCGGGGACAGGCAAGGAGGATTTAGCCTGGCCTTGCATGCAGTGCGGATGTCTTTTTTCCCTACCTTGGCCATTTCCCTCTATTGCAGGTAGGGGACCAGGCTAAATGGGTTAGTGGCCTCATTTGATTATGATAATGCCAGTGTTTCTGGGGTGGTTAGGTACTGCCTGCAGCCGGTAGGGAAGCGAGGGTCAGAAACAGCACAGGAGTTACTGGGCTGCTGGCTTCTCCACCCACCCTCTCTGCCGCTGGGATTTTGATTTGGGAGAGACTGTATCTTCCTCCTTCCACCACTGGGGAACATTTGCCTTAGTAGCAGCACACTGGCACTCATCATTGGGGTGGGAAATCAGGCTTTCAGTTAAAGTTCAACTGGTTTATTTAGTAGTCTCCCATGATCACAAGGGGGACACACAGGATTTTCAAAGTTGTGAAGCTCTTGTAGATGCCCTGAACAAGCAGTGACCCAGACAAACCTTGTCCCTACTGCACAGTCTGCCGAGCAGAGGTGAGTGTGCGAGAGCGGTGCAGGGCAGGGACGGCCAAGGCGAGCCCTGCCCTCCTTGTCATCCCTGGGCAATGGGCTCCTTTGCCATTGGGTAGGAAAGAGCTGGTCATTCATTGCAGGTGGCCGCAAAGGTCCGTTCTGTATCTATTTGCCCTGTAGCCCTCAGCACTCCCTACAGAGCACTATTGTACCTGTTCAGCCAGGTTGCAGGACCTGGGTACCCAGGGCAGATGCCTCGGGGGATATCTTCTTGCTAGAAGATAGAGTTGAACAAAACAAAAGGCTACTGGGGGCCATGTGTCTTCTGAATTAATCACCTGAAAGAGCATATTTCTGTCAACAATAAGTAAAACCAGCACCACCAACAAAATACCCTTTTTTTTTTTCTAGGGTAAAAGACATTGCATGTCACTCTTGCAAAAATATTCCGTGGCCTTTGGTTTCACAGATCGAGATGTGGATTATGCCCTTAGCCATCAAAGAGATTATCTTCTTGATGTTTATGAACTTATTTTAGTTCTTAAGTGTGGTCTAGTCAAGAAAATATCCCTGTAAAATTGGAGTATGGCCATGACAAGATTCATCTCTTCCCATGGCATCCATCTGAGTGCTGGTCAGTTTACAAGTCAAAAAAGAAAAAAGATTTCTCTAGGTGCCATTGCTACAACTTCACCTTGGAAATGATGTCAATATTAAGTTTGTTCTGCATTTTACATCCCCTCGGGACGACCGATCCTGCAGGCAGGAATGACCAGCGGATTGCAGCGGGACTGTGGGAGGCAGAGCCTGCTCCCTCCTCCAGCTGCACGGCTCTGGAGGTTTCCTGTTTGCATACTTAACGTCACGCTTCTGCAGGGACAGTTTGAATAAGAACATATCACTCCTTAAAGTCACTGTTCTGATCTGGGCCACAGTGTATGGGTTCAGTGTAAAGTATATCACACCTTCTCCTGAAATCATGCTAAATGGTGAATTTAGCTTCTGTGAATTCAGCTAGATGCGGGGTTAGGCTCTACGTCTGTGTTTTGGGACTCTGGCCAGGCTTATCCACAAAGTCTTATCTAGATTTCTCTCTTTTTGTCTTTTCTCCCCTTTTGACTTTTGCCTAGTACAGGTTTTGGTTGGCTGTCCAAGATCTCAAGAAACAGCCTCTACAGGATGTAACTACCAGAGTGGAAGAAATCTGGCAAGAGTTTCTAGCTCCTGGGGCCCAAAGTGCTATCAACCTGGATTCCCACAGCTATGAGAAAACAAGCCAAAATGTCAAAGACCCAGGGAGATATACATATGAAGATGCACAGGTTTGTTTTTGATTTTATGGAACTACTGCTAATAAAACTCTCAGCTTTACTGTCATATTCCACTATCACATTGTCACTGCTCACTTGTAAGAAAAAAAGAGACACACAGTTTGAAGTGACTTTGAGGATATCTATTCAAGCTGGGTAAATTATATTTTCTTTGAATCTATCAGTTATAACCGGCTAATGCTCCTCTGGGAGCAAATGTTCCAAAATTTACAAGTCTGCAAGGCGCAACGAGCTGGAGCCATGTCTCAGAGAAAGCAAAGATGAAAGAGTGCTATAAAGTTCCGTTTGGCTCTCTGTACTCCCTGTCACCAAAGTCTGGCGTATTTACAGAATGGGTGATACCATATCAAAATACTGGTTAATATACTTTTTTTTATCCTTTATTTATAGGTAATTATATCGCCCCCTGCCAAACCCCAAATGCAGCAGCTCCCTCCAACACAGCTAGAAACTTGTCCACCAGACAATAACGTAGAATAAAGATAGGACAGCAGGCAATACAGCGAGCTTAATCCTTCCGTCCTAAGGGCCCCAGATTTATCAGGGAAATGTTACAGATAAACTGTACACAGAAAATGCCTTTAGGAAAGCAAATAATTTGAGAAAAACTGCTCCAAGCAACCGTAAAGCTGCATAACCTTCTGAGAAAGTGAAAATATCATTTTATAAAGGCTGAAAAAGAAAAAGGAAGAAGGAATCATTTGGCAAATATTACCAGGGACACAATTAAAAGATGTCCTCCTCGTAATCATTTTTATCAAAAGCATGTAATAAAACCAACAGCAAATGAAAAGAATCTCTGTTCTTATATTTTCTTTAAATCGGTGTTTAAAGGCAGTTCTTCAAAATACTCCACTAACAAAATATTTCCATCTCAGGAGAGATGTTGTGGACCACTTATACAAGGTTAGGCAATGAATTTTTCAAACCAGCATCAAATACTGTATTTTCCTGAATGCAGTCTTGTTCCCTGGGGTTAGCATAGAAGGAACATACGCAAAGTTTCAAGGCAATCCCCTGTGAATATCAGGCAACTTAAATGTTCTTTTTAAAGCTGAGAAACAGAGGAGTATGAAGATATTCTGGCTAAGATGTATTTTTTGCTTTGTAGTTATAGTGAACAAGAACAACTGCAAATCTGCATCACCTGAAAATAAAGATGATGGCAAAATGCAGGCTAAAGCAGATAGGTGAATAATGGGGGAATTGATTAAATTGATAGGCAGAAGTACTAAGAATAAGATGGATGTTTAGACAATGAGTATTTAATCAGAAACAAGACACGGAGGATTTAGGCTTGAACTGATCACTTCGCAATGTAATTGCCATTCAAAGGGGAATTGACGAAATCAAGCTGGAGCTCTTGCAGTTAGACTGCAGTTTTAGCTCCTTGGGTTAATTTTATTTTAGAGGATTTTTATGCTGACAGATGTCCTCGATTCATCTGTTTTGGTTCACGGACACAGAAGTATGAGGCAAAAGTAGACCTTCAGGCCCAGCTATGGTCCTCTCGGAGACTGAATCTGTGCCAAGAGAGGATAGGGCAATGTGGAACATGAACCTGGTTACCTTGTTGTGCAGTGGACTGCTGGTAGCTCTCCAAAGGCCAAGCAAGCTGTTTCTGACTGCTTGACCAGATAGCTAAGGCGGCTGTCTAACAAAAACAGGGAGAAACAGGACACTGCTGAAGGGCGTAGTGCCCTGGCAGAGCTGGAGCAATGTTGGCTTTTACTGGCTCATCCTGGAGAGGGGGCATTTTTGTTTGCACATCCACATACACAGGAGCCAACGTAGGTCCCCCCAGTGCACTCTGAATTTCCCAGGTACTGTCCTGGTGTCTCCCCCAGGTCAGCCCTGCCACCTTGGGAGCTCAGTTGCCCACGAATCTGAAGCAGGTCGTAGCCCAGCTGCCTTATCTCAGCACCCTGGCACCAGGAGCCCATGAGAGCTCCCACACATCCCGCATTCCTCGGGACTCAACCAGACATAACCAGTCAAAACACCCCACTGTGGGAGGGAAAATATGAGTGTTGTCCTGTCCTGTGTAGCTTTAGCACAAAGAGGAAAACAACTGAAATGTCCTTGTGAATAAAGAACAAGAAAAAATTTAGTTTACTGAACAGCACATTCTTTGAATGCCTGCAGCTCTGAGGCACTAAGACTAAGAGGAAGGAAAAGGGTTGGCTGAACTGAGAAAATGAAATTGCTGCTCCTGCAGTGGAAAAATAGGAGAAGGTGATGTGGCACTCTAGCCCTTATGCTGACCTGGGGGACCCACAAAATGCTAATTCTGTATAAAAAGCGCTGGGAATGAGCACATTGCTGTACTTGGGAAGGGGAAGGTGTAGCAGAGCACAGTATACTTCAGGCTAGTGAACGTGTTATAACCATAAGTTGAAAGCAAAGCATCGGCTGTTACCAGGTGCTTGACAGTCTACATGGGTGTGCTTCTTTGCACAACCTTGGCTCCCAGCCCCAAAGAGCTCTCTCAGATGCTGCACGACCTGGTAAGACAACTGGCCTAGAAGAAAACAGGGAGAAAAGGGGGCTCCCGACAAACATGCCTCTCACTTAAGACCTCTTCGTCCCAAGGCCACTCATGCTCTGAAGGCAAATGGTTCCACTATTTAAGAAAAGTGACACTGAAAATCTCAGCTCCAAACATCCTCAAAGGGCTCCTAATCCAAACCTAAATTTGGTGTGCATTTATTGTTTCGGACAGAGCTCTCTCTAAGATGGATTCCTGTAGTACAGGAGCAAGTGTTTTGCCATTTCCCCATCTCAGCTTAAGATATTTGTCCTGTTGCGTGTCCCTTGCTGCTGCGCTCTGCAGTCCTGCACCGCTCTGCTTGCACAGAGCCGCCTTCTCTTGCCGCGTCTCCTGTGTGTGTCCTCGCCTGCCCCGTGCTCCACTCAGGCTGTGCTGGCTCATCTCGGCTCCGAGCAGAGCATGCTGTGCCAGCTCAGCCTGCGCTCACCTTCCCCAGCCATCCAGTTTGCTGGCATCCCCCATCCCCGAGCAGCACAGCCCCCGCTCCTAGCTCTGTCCTGATCGTCAGCTCTGCCAGCTATCTTGATCTGCAGCACCTTTTGTCATTTTAGCGCTGGGCCCCTCCAGAGGCAAGCCTACCAATTTAGCTGATTATTTTCTGCTCTTAAACAACTGTCCGCTGAGTAAAATATTATGATTATCAAACCATTTTCACTGGGGAGTAAAGCAGCTTTTAATACAAGGGGCACCGTCAGGAAAGGTCAGTTCAATTAAACAGTGAACTACTTAGCAGGATGTAAGCTCCCACAGGAGTTATCAGCATCATTGAACAACCAGTGTGGGGCCCTGCAATATGAAGAAGGCACAACCGGCTCTGGAAAGTAAATAGGTTCAGGTCCATCCGAATGGCCTCTTTTGGCTAAGCTGCTGACAGCCAAAGTAATTCATCTTTAACATGGGAACTCAGACCTGTGAGTGTGACGATTATGGCTTATCTGTACAACACGTAATTAGTTTTTAAACATTTTTTTTCCCTCACACCTTCAAGCATCTCCTTACCTCCCCTGAAATGTCTTTCTGCCTTCAGCAAATCTTTAAACCCTGCCTCAGTCCCTTAGCATCGGGAACTAGTATATCACAAGAATGCATTCTGTCTCCTGATAGTAATGTTTGCTTGTAGGGGCATTTACTGGTAGGTTTCAGAGCCAGGTATACTAAAATAAGGTAAGCCACGTAGTTGTCTTTGGAATTACTTTCCTGTTTGCTTTGTTTATTTTTATTCTTTAATAAACAAAATAGAGTTTTAGATTGACATTCATTTACCTGAACTAATCGGCTGTTGTTTCTGTGAAGATTATTCGGGGAAATTCAATTCTCATCCCGGCTCAGTTAGGGATTTTAACTGTGCTGTGCAGATCCTTGGCTAATTCCAGAGCAGATTTAGACTATAATGTCAAACTCCAGGCTGCTCAAACCAGAGATGTACCAAATATACCCAGATTTGGACCCAATTCATGTTCTCAGCTGCCCCAGGTGTTGGTTATCTCTATGTGATAGAGATATGAGCCCTTGCAGAATTCGTCAGTGATCAGTCCTTCAGCTTGCATTTTGGTCCCATCAGGAAGCTGGGAGCGTTGACAGAACTTGAGAGGATCCTGTTGAATCAAAAAACAAACTCGCAAGTGTGAGCAAGGATCTCTTGGTAGTGGAATGTCATTTTCTACCAAGAAGGGAAAATGAGGGGTGACCTTTATTCCACTGACTTTGTCTTTTCAGGCATACACAGGATGTGAAAGCAAGTGTACAGAGCAATGTATGCCTGGTGCCTATTCAGTGGGCATACAGAACTCCTTTTGTAGGTCTTGAGCAAAATCACAGCATGGAAAAAAAACGTGAAAATAATCATTCATTGTGCATCTGTATCACCTTTCATGTAAGAACTTGAAGAAACTATTCTATTTTCTTAAAGTTATTCCTATTTTCTTAAAGTTTCACCCAGTCACCCCAATTACATGCATGCCTGTAAAGGACGGTGACTAAGGATGGAGAATCGAGGTAACAGCAAAGCAGCTCTGGTTGGCAGCGTGGGCAGTCAGCAAGGGGGCACAGGGCAGACCCAGGTGCTCTGCCTTGAAGAGGGGCTCAAGTCCACCTGAGCCAGTGCTGCTCAGAGACCTGGCTCTTGCGCTACGGGGAATTGAAAGCACTGTGGTGCTGCATCCATATGTATACGTGGATGGCGCCCAGGCCTCCTGGAGGCTTTTGAGAGCCTGGACCTTCCTGTGGAGGTTAGGGACTGCACAAGGGCTTGACCTTTATTCTCTTCTCCTCCTTTGGCTCTGATTCTGTGGGACTGGAGGAGAAAATCCTTCCTTACACTGCACTCCGGTTGCCTTCCCTGTGTGTGGGTTACAGTGACTGTAGAAACAGCCTTCACACAAAGCCTCACTGTTGCTGTGTATTTGTTACACACACAAACAAAAGTGCAAGCTCCTTCCCG